TATGTTCTCCAGTTAGGGTCACACATATAAAGTCAAAATATTCTAAACCATAGTTTTTAAAGACATATCTGTAAGGTGACCAACTTTTTTACAATGAGAAGGACACAAATAAATAGTAGGAAAAAAAACAAAGCCACTCTTGCACGTAGCACACTCTCTCAAAACAATTCTCCTGTGCGGAGCACATGCGCCTCATAATCGCATCTCGCCGCACTGTATCGAGCCTTGACAAATCGTCATGTCAAATACAAATACGTCATATCACACACAACGGATCGGATCAGCATCGATCAAATACGGAGATTAACAGATTAGTCTTCAAATATCAAAAAGGAGGACATGTAGGAGGATACTTTTTGAGAGAGGACAGAACTTACGAAAGGAGGACAATTGGTCACTTTAATATCAGACATCCTCACATATAACAATGTATAACTTCACTGAGTTTCTTGGGAAAATAGTATGAAGAGATTCACTACTGCCTTCTTCCAGGATATTTTCACCTTCTAAATCTAGCCTAAAACCTTTGCATCTACCATATAAACACTAACCAGATCCAACTCTGATTACTTGAGGTTTAGAGTGTTCAATAGTTGGAGTCATAGGAACATACTGAGACAAGATTGGGTGAGGCATTTTATAGCATACTGTGGGGTATGAATTCCTATCTTCCCTCAGTGCAAGAAACTTTTCCATGGCATACAAAAGTTTGGCACCAGACATTCCAAGTTCTGGATTGCTTTGGGGCAAGTATCTTGATTGTGATTTGGTAATGACTGGTTAGGTAATACTTCCTGATTCATTGTTTTAATGAATACTTTTATAGGGGGAAAAAACCAGAATCACCATGGTTGGAATTGCCCCATGCTTCCTACATATATCATTTCAGAACAGATCCTGAATACCAATAAAGTAAGGACCTAAAAAGCAAACAGGGCAGTGATGGTATTCTACTGATTCGGCCCGGTTCTGCCGAGCCGGTAGCAGCAATGAACAGCAGACACTGAGCCAATTCTCTCCATTGCTCTGCTGTTGGGCCCACCCACCCGCCTGGCTCCCATACTTACCTTTATCCTCTGCTTTTGAAGTGCAGCTGTTTTGTGCGGCACAGCAGAGTGCCGTGCAGCAGCTGCTGAAGCAACCAGGAGAGTGCAGGCTTGCAGGAAGTGAGTTGGAACGCCTCTGCACCTGCACAAAGTATGCGTTTGGCATGCGCGTGCACGCAAAGTGTGTACATGCGTGCAAAGCGCGCCCACCAAGCCACACTGACTGAACCGGTAGTAAAACTTTTTGAATCCCACCACTGAAACAGGGGAAGAAAACTGAAGTTATAATAGCCCTAATTTGTGACTTGCTTTCTTTGGAGTTGAGAGCCAAAAGGGAGGGTTAACTACACTTTACTCTTTCTTTCCTATTAACACAGAGCTGAAGGTAAGGAAAAATTAAGTTATAACTAACTTTGCCATCCTCCCCCCCAAAAAACACCCACTCTGGATAAGGCTCTCTACTTTCACAACATCTTGATTCATGAGCAGGCTCCACCCAAGATATTAGAGCCAATGAAAATAGTTTATTAATTTTCATTGAAATGCTGCCCCACTCATATCACTCCATTATGTTCCTGCCATAACACTGTTTCTGTAAACTTCTTACTTATAGAGGAATAATGACCTAGAGACTGATTAAGGCAGTGGTCCCCAACCTTTTTTGTACCAGGGACCAGTTTCAAGCACAAACACTTTTTCAAGGACCGGGGGGGGGAGAGAATCCGAGTTTGGTGGTTTGCTTGCAGACGTTTCATTACCTGACTAGGTAACATCTGATGTTGTTACCTAGTCGGGTAATAAAACGTCTGCCAGCAAACCACCAAGTTCAGGGAGCGCCTTGGCCCTGCCTCCCTCAGCCCCATCCCTCAGGTGTCTCCCTCCCTCCCTCAGGTGTCTGCCTCGTTCCTCTCTCAGTCGCTCTCTCGCTGCTCCACCAGCCCAGGAAGACACTGATTCAAAGAAGCCGGGGGTGGTGGTGGTGGCTTTTCCTGTTGCCGCAGCTCCTCCGAAGCGCCCGTTTACCCCCACCCCCACCCCGCCCGCCTGCCCGCGGTTCAATCCACAGTGTTCCGTTCTGCCTGCCTGCCTGCCTTCTTCGTTTCGGAGCAGCTTCAGCTGATAAAAAGAGGCGAATAGTTATTATTCTCAGCCGAAGCTGCTCCCAAACAACCAAACAGGCAGGCAGGCAGAACGGGGCACTGAACTGAACCGCGCGCAGGCGGGCGGGGTGGGGGTGAACGGGCACTTCGGAGGCGCTGCGGCGACAGGAAAAGCCACCCCCCCCTGGCTTCTTTGAAGCAGTTTCTTCCTGGGCTGGTGGAGCAGCGAGAGAGCGACTGAGAGAGGAACGAGGCGGGAGGAAACCGAAGCCGCTGAGCCAGAGAGCAGGACAGGCTTCGGTTGCTTCCTCCCTCCTTCTTTCATTTGTGTCCTTGATCCCCAATCCCAGCAGCATTCACCGAAGGCGAAGAAAGCCGCCATTTTTTTTAAATTTTTTTTTTATTTGCGGCCCGGTACAGAGTGCTCCACGGACCGGTACCGGTCCACGGCCCGGTGGTTGAGGACCCCTGGATTAAGGCACCAGGCTAGAAACTGGGAGGTTGTGCTGTGGTGACGTAGTGGTTAGAATGCAGTATTGCAGATGAATTCTGCCAACTGCCAAGAGTTTGATCCTGACCGTCTCAAGGTTGACTCAACCTTCTATTCTTCAAAGGTCAGTAAAATGAGGAGCCAAGTTGTTGGGGGCAATGTGCTGACTCTGTAAACCACTTAGAGAGGGCTGTAAAGAACTATGAAATGGTGTATAAGTCTAAGCGCTATTGCTATTGCTACTTTGAGTTCTAGTCCTGCCTTAGGCATTAAAGCCAGCTGAATAACTTTGGGCCAGTCACTTTTTCTCAGCCCAGCCTAACTCACAGGGTGACTGCTGTAAGACAGGAGGAGAAAGTAAAATAGGTACATTCGTTGCCTTGAGTAATTTATAAAATAAATGCTGGACATAAATACTAAACAAATATTTATGTAACTTCCACACTAGGATTTCATTATGACAGTAGATATGATGAATGCCAACCTACCATATCATGGTAAAAAGTAGAGATAGTAGTCAAGAATGGCTGTTCATTGATATTTCTAAATCCAGCCAGAAGAATTTTAAACTTCCAAGATTTACAAAAATCTTCCCAACATGGAATCAACTCCATTAGTCCACAGATCATTCTAATTTGTCTTCCAAGAATTAGTTACAGGGCTGGTGCACGTTATTTGCAGCCTGAAGTTGTCAACTTTTCCAGTTTAAAAATCTCACTGTTGTCTTATTTTAACACTGACAACAGGACAGGCTATTTTACTATATCTGAACATTACAAGCTAATTTAGTGAGGGATTGGGAGACCATGTGACACTTTACACTTTATCCCTGGTAGTCTTGTACTTGGGTAGTCATTAACCACTCCCTCCTACTCACTCTGGATCGGGGTCGGCAACCTTTTGGACCTCACAGACCACCAAACTCATAATTTTGAATCCTGGGGACCACTAATATGAATTGTGCTTGACGGTGGCTTGCTGACTTGGTGGGAGGGTGGGTGGGAGGGAGAGAGGGAGGGAGAGAAAGAGATAGACTGACTGACTGGTTGGGCATGGCTTGTATGTAAATATTATATTTATGTAAACATTGAATTTTTTATAAAAAAAGAGCAACTTTTACCCAAAATCAGGCAAAGCAGGCAGGCAGATTGAGTTGCTCACAGTATCACAGATTCACTTAGAGATCTATGATTCTGCCATCGGCTACCTGCACTGAATAATAGAAGTTTCAGTCCTAAGAAAGGTTTGGCTCTGCTTAAAAGAGCCAAAAATCTAAAGATTAGCTAGAAAGTAAAAAATGCAACGGTTTCCTGCTTTCTAGCTAATCCAAATCGCCCAGCATAGCAGAACAGCTGATGATCGGGGGGGGGGGGGGGGAAAAAAGCAACTTAGAGGGCAAGTTTGCCAGGTAAGGAGTGAGTGGGTAGAGAGGGTTCCCATGGGCCATATGGGCAGCGCAGCCTTGTGTTCCTGTGCAACCTGCTTTGAAAGGTGCTCTGGGGATGACATTTCTCTGCGGACCACCAAAATTTTCTCGCAGCCCACCGGTTGACAACCACTGCTCTGCATGAACTTGCCTCACACTGTGTAAATACTAGGTCCATCTCTGTAAACAAATAATGTCAGTTTCAAAATTGTGGTTTGCAGCATTCCTGGCACATTATCTGTTATATGGATCAATTCATCTCAAGGTCCCAGGCACACTTTTAAAAACATTATCAGTAAGTGATGCAATATTAGAGAAATAAAAAATTAGTAATACATAATTTTATCAATCACTGAAATATTTTTCAGCACTTGACAAACACACTTTCTTTAGCAATTGCAGGGATCCAAGTTGACATTCAGCAATCCCCAATTTTGGGATCTTAGGATGTGACTTAATAACAGAGTCCATCCTTTCCTGGTATGACATTCCTCAGATTTGCTGGACTGCACCTTGATCATGCTTCTTGTGTGGATTACTTGGAGGTGGAACCAAAACAGATCAACCTTACTGTGTCACCTGTCAGCTTCACTACTATAGGACCTTACTTTGCCCATCAAGTCAGGTGACAGGCAAACCTGATCTATCTTATCCTTCTGTCTTTCTCCCTCTCTCTTCCACGCTATTTGATGACCTCTTTCCAAAGCTTCTTCAAATCTTCTCACCCCTTAACAGCAGAAGTGTCTTAAGGCTCTTGTTAGCCTTTAGTGCTTTGTCCATGCCTGAAACGCAAACAAACCGATCGCAGCAAACTCTACTACAGCACTGTACTAAGGAGGGGAGATATTTGTCCATCCCAGCTCCGCTTAATCTCAATGCTTCCTGCACAGCGACGTTCTTGTTTGCCTGCTTGCTCCCAGCTCGCCCCGCCGCCTCACCTTCACTCCTCCTGTTCAAGGCCATGTGTCCCAGAGAGGTGCACAAAAGCAGCAAAGGCTCACACCCCTCGCAGAGGGAGAATCATAGCACCCGGTTGGAAAACATCCCGCCACGCTCCCCCGCTGCTGCTACTGCTGCTGCTTGCACCGACCCACTTCCAGCTTCCTTTTTCCATCCGGGCGTATCTAATCCGCAGAGGCTCTGGCTTCTCATTGGCTCTTGCTCTAAAGGGGGCGGTCCTTACGCGAGCGTTCCAAGGGGCGGGGGAAGACCTCCCTTCTCGGGCTGCCGGGCCGGGGACTGGCCCCGCCTGCCGAGCTCTGGATGGGAGGGGGTGGGGAGGCCGTGCGCGGCTGCGCAGAACGGTGAGAATTCCGCCTGGAGCGCGGTTCGGACAGCGGCAGCAGCAGCAGTAGCGAGCGAAGCCGCTCTGCTCACAGCGCGGAAGCCGCTTTTTTACGGAGCAGACGGGCAGCGCCTGGACCGCGACAAGGGAACTTACTTATCCAGCAGCGCCGTTTTCCCGAATGTGTGGCTGGCCGCGCGCGAGTCTCTGAGACAAATACACGCGGGGGAATAATGTTAATTATGCATACTTCTCTGCCTCTTTTCTTCCTCTTCTCCTTCGCCTTCACTATTGCCACCACTGTTACTACCACTACTGTCCTCCACCTGACTCGTTGAATGCAGCATGCAACTCACTATACGCTAAATGAATAATGCACTAGAATGTCCGCGCTGAAAAAGGTAAGCGGGCAGCCAATGAGCAAGACCGCCCAGGACCCTCGTGTGGTGGTGCTGGTTTGGGGCGGGGGGGGGGGGGGCCGGGGGGGGCAGGAGGGGGCATCTAAGCTTACCACCACCCCACTCCACACACACACACCTACCCATCCACCTTCAGTATACCTTTTGCTGAAGATTTAAAACGACCTACGGCGAGCAAAGACGTTTGGCCGGCTGTGAATTAGCGCTGCAAACTCTCGGGCTGTGTGTGGATTTCGGGGGGGGGGGGGGGAGGGGGCCGGGCTGGGGATGGAAAGAATTGGTAGGATTAAGTCAAAGGGGGAGGGGAGGGAAGATTATTAAGAGAGAAGCGATGCCATTGCTGGTGCTGTTGTGGTTTGCCTCAGCGTGGTTGTTCCGAGCGGGATTTCTAATAGTAGTTATTTGGGGACAGAGGGGGTTCACCTTGGGCCATTGGAGTCAAAAAGCCTGGAGGTTGGGTAGGGGTGTCTTTCAGCTCGGTTTTTTTGTTTTTTTTTACTATGGGACTTTCGACGTGGCGTTGATGGGGAGACGATGTCCGTGGGCTGGGGTAGCATCTGTTGCGGAGGCTGTTTCTTTCGCGAAGGGGACGGTGGTAGGGGAGACGGAGTTGAGGAGAACGGGAGTTTTCTGTGACAGCTGCGGTTATTTCAGTCACGGGGGGTGGGGGGAATAATGCGTGGGAACAGAGCCACTACCGGCGTCGATGCTGTTGAGAAGCGGGGGTACAGTGGCTGTCCCTCGCTTTCCCGACGACATGGATACACGCGTACGAGCTGGGGGGGGGGGGGGGGAAGAGAGGCTTAAAGCGCCTGGAATTGATACTAAAGATGACTGAGAATTATTGGGGTGACGGGACGAGCGTTTTTAAGTCCCCATTTTCTTCTTTGTGGGGACCTTAGTCCCGATAGTGGAGGTGGTTGTAGAAGGGTGAGAGAGAAACCAAGGATGAATTGGGGTGACTTGATGGGAAGAGCGACGGCATGTGGAATCGCTGTTAGAAAACTCGGGGTGGGGTGGGGTAGGTCTTTACAAAAGGGAAGGATCGGAGGAGCAGACGAAACGGCGTGTCCTCTCAAAAACCAGGCCAACGAAAATGTCGAAACGACGGTGGCGTTTCTTTGGGAGCGAGGAAGGACTTTCTCAGAAATAACCGGAAAGGCTCTGAGGAGGCTCCCCAGTTTCCACCGTCCAGATGTAACCCTCGGAAAAGACTGTGACTGCGGTCAGCGTCTTCAGATCTAAGATGGGAGAACGACCGAGGAGGACGCGCCTTGGGGAGAGGGAACAAGCGCGTAAAAAACGGCGCTAGTGGGGAAGAAAAGGAGACGATCCCGCTGCCGCGGAAACTGCCGGGATGAGAGGGACGTGTCCGCGGGCGCGATCTCTTGTTCTTTTGGCTGGGGCGACTGCCGTCCAAGTATCCCTTCGGTGGAGCTCCGCGCCTGTAGTGCGGTGCCCCCAGCTGCTGCGGGGCGCTGCGGACTGGCGCTAGCTTCACCTGCTCGTTCCCGAGCGCTGGAGGCGGCGGGGCTCTCTAAGCGGCCAAGAAGCGCGCGGAGTTTCCACCACGAGGCTCTGTCGGAGACCTTGCAAACACTCCGCGTGGATTGGGGGGAGGGGTCTTTGGGAGCCCGTTTGCCAAACTCTGGAGGGTGCAGATAAGGGGGCGGTGAATAACACGATGCGCTTGGACCCAAGCGGACTGATTCGCCCCCCCCCCCCCCGCCGCAGATGCCCTCGACCGCGCGCTCTCGATTTCTAGAGTTCTGGAAGTGTGAGGAGACTGCGGACCCATTTCATTATTTCCTCAGAAGTAAAGAGCGAGCGCCCATCCCGCTCGTTAATTCTGAGAGAAGGTGGTGGTGGTGAATGAGGCGGAGAACTACAGTAGCTGTTGGGGTCCACGGCGAACCGCTTCGTCTTTCTCCTCTGCTCCCTTCCAACACGATGCCTAGTGGCCCCGAGGCGAGGCCAGCGAGCACCACAGGAGTTTGAGAGGGGTTGGAAGGAGAAGCGAGAACCGAGGGCGGTGGTCAATCGAGACGCGGCGTGGGCTGCTTTCCCTTGGAAGAGTCTCGCGTGGAAGGCAAACACCCCCGTGTTCCTTAGGTAGAGATTGGCGCCCGGTGCGGAAAGGCCGACCGCGAACGCGACTCTCGCTGCCTCTGGGGTGAAGTGAGGCGAGGCGAGGTTCCCGCGCGCCTGCCTTCTGCAATGGCCCATTTCGGGCCAAACGAACTTCCAAAGCTTTTCTCCTCGGGAGTTTAAGACACTGAGCCAAAGCTATAGATCTTGTTCCTTGTTAAATTCTGCACATAATCAGGATTTGAGAGTATATTCCCCAGTGCAGGTAGTCCTCGATTTAGGACCACGACTGAGCCCAAGTTTTCCATTGCTAAGCAAAATGGGCTATTAAGTGAGTTTCACCCCATTTTATAACCTGTCTTGCCACGGTTGTTAAGTGATTCATTGCAGTTGTTTAGTTAATAGCACAGTTAAGTGAACTCTGATCATGTGACCCCGGGGACACTGCAACCATGTGCCAATAAAGGAGAATATTTGTAGCCCAGGGTTGAAATGAGGGGTCCTTGGCGCTCACTGAGCTTTTTCTTTCTTTCTTGCAGATGTTTCATTACCCAAACTAGAAAATATAATCAGTGATACTTCACCTTGTTTGAATGTCTGCAAGACAATAACCAAGCTAGGAGAGAACCAAGGATATACGCCAATTGCAAGCATCTCAGATATACGCCAATTGCAAGCATCCAACTTTTGATCATATAACTTTGGGGTTGCTGCAACTGTCATAAGTGTGAAAAGTGGTCACTTTTTTCAGTGCACTGTAACTTCGAGTGGTCACTGAACAAATAGTTGTAAGTCAAGGACTACCTGTACTTTCCCTTTATGTAAAAAAAAAGGGGGGGGGGAGTTCAAACAGCTGGGAGCGAGGGTAGAGAGGGTGAGCCAGTGCACTTTCCCCCCTCCTCTCCTGAACTAGGTGGTTGCCTAGGTGGACTCCATCCCATAAAATAGCTACTTCTTTCTCCTACAAATGACAGGAGTAGTTGCACTGAATAGTTAATCATGCTCTGTTTGTAGAGGTTCGTGGGAAGAAGGGGTTACTAGGGTTGGATGGATTAGTTAAAAATGGGAGAACCAAGAATGTGGGTAGTCCTGGAAAAAGTCACTAAATTGTTATTGCAGCTGTCACATTATTTTGTGATGATGTCAGTGGCTTGACATCAAATGTTAGGCCACTTGTATCCATTGGCTTTTCCAATGCGGTAGCTCGCATTTAAGAGATCCTGAAAAGTTGGCTTAATGAACAAACAAACCACTGGCTAAAGATGAGTTGATTAATGCCATTTTGTGCTTAGTTGGTATTGATTTTCTTCCAGTTCTAAACTGATAAGAATAAGACCTTCTTTAGGACTTAAAACATTTATATAATCCTGGTGGACTATTATATTCACCTGGTGGTTGTCTAACACCTTGAAAATTGAGATTTAAGGTCAAATAAAAACTTATTTCAGAACCCAAGCAATAGCATCAAACATTGTCAGTCATCAACATTCTGTCTGAATACAAACCGTTCACTTCAGACTATTCATATGATTATTAGTTCCTTTGGATGCAGCCTTGATCTCATTTGAATCTGGAGGTAATTTGCTATAAAGAGAATTGGTATTTTACTGTTTAGGTAAATTCTTTTTGCCCTGAAAAAGAAATCAGGACAAAAATAGCTCTTGCTAAGCATTTTCTCATATGGAAAAAAAAGTGATATTCAGATACATCTGTATGGTTTCCTTCTCCACCACTGAGTTTAATATATTTCGGCTATAAATAGTACCATATATGAGAGCCACTTTGGCGTAGTGGTTAAGGCACCAGGCTAGAATGCAGGAGAATGTTCTACTGTAGTCATGAAGTCAGCTGGGTGATCTTGGGCCAGTCAGACTCCATCACCCTAGGAAACAAGTAATGACAGGCCTCTTCTGAAAAACTTTGCCAAGAAAACTGCAGAGATTTTTCCCTGACTTGAAGGCACACACACACACACACACACACACACACACACACTAGGTAAGAGTATCAAAGCAAAAGGTAGGATCTCAAGGAATATAAATCTATGCTAAACGGTATGACTAGCTGAAGCTATAATATGAAAACATCCCTTGTGATTTCTGCAAATTATTGCAAAAATTTATATTACTCAATAGCAATGCCTAATGTGTTATAGCCACAGTACACTAAGTAATGATACACACTTTTTAAAAGAAAACTATCATATGTATCTGCAATTTTGGAAGTGAAAGATAGGAATGCTTCAATTCTGCTAATCACAGCCTGTCACTTATTGCAAGGAATATTCCTGTCATGGCCCAGCATCAAAAACTAGAGACTGATACTGGA